TGGGAAGCTGTAAATGCAGAGCAGTGTGTAAGGGGGAGAGAGCCTTTCAAGGGGCCACGTAACACTGGCACTGTCTCCTTTGGCAGCAGGTGAAGTCTAGTGAGTTTCCTATCTATTTTAATGCCCTTGGCGTTCTGCATAAACATTTACGTAGGAAAACGTGGCAGGTGCCTTGCAGGAGTCCACGCAGATGGACTGCTTAGGGCCCCTGCCCCATGTTCAAATGAAAGCCAGATAGAAACCAACTCTAGAGTTGTTGCACATTGTCAAGCACTACGTTTGTAGCTGCTCAACTCTTTCTATAGCTGGCCAGACATTTTTATGGTGTGATAATGACTTTGCATCTGTGGCTGCTCTAAACTGATTGCACAATTCACCAGTCAGTTGCGTAATACATGTAGCAGGAGCCTTCAAATTGATGCGTGGGCTCCAGTTCTAGTGGAAAAGCTGCCCAGGAACTCTTTGCAAAGACTGTACACCCTCGACCACTGCGTTCTTCATCTCCTCAGACGGAAGCCCCCCCAGATGAGCCTTGAGACACCCTGGGAACAGACTGGCTCTTGGTTTCAACTCATGTTTTGATTGCAGAAGAAAACTAGAGCAATCTCTTCCCTTGCCAAAGGGAAAGAAAGGCTCCAGCAGGGTGGACTATTGAAAGCTATGGGTTCCTAGGGGGAACCTCTGGGTCCGTGCTGGTGGGAGGCCTGACAGGGCTTGTTGGTTTAAAACACATGCAAAGAAGTTCTTTGTCACCCAGCCTCTCACTCAAGGGTGGAGCTCATTGCCACCAGATGTGGTGGACGCTGACGGCTTCATCAGATTCAAAAAGGGATGGGACATAATCTTGGAGGAAAGGTAAACCCATTGCTATTGAGCAGGGGGGGAGGGGCACGGCCTCTGAATCAGTCATAAGAAGTGAGGGTTGAAGGGAGCTCAGGAGGTCACATCTAGTCCAACTCCTGCTCCAAGCAGGACCAGCCCCAACTACATCATCCCAGTCAAGGCTTGGTCCAGCCGTGTCTTCAAAAGGATGGAGACTCCACCACATCTCCAGGGAGCCTGGTCCACTCCAGTACTTTACTAATGAGAAAGTTTTTTCCTAATATCCAACCTCAACTTCCCTTGCTGCAGCTTGAGCCCATTGCTCCTTGTCCTGTCATCTGCCCCACCGAGAACAGCCCAGCTCCAGCCTCTTTGCAACCCCCCTCAGTCTCCTCTTCCCCAGACTCAGTCAGCCCAATCCCCTCACCCTCTCCTCACCATCATGTCCCCCCAGCCCCCCATAACCATTTGCCCTCGGCTGGACTCTCCCCACCTTGTCGACACGCTTCCCGGGGCCCAAAGCTTCCCACATGCCAGAGGCTTCGAGCAGGAGGAGCAGAGGGAAGCCCAGACCCCCCCCAAATGACAGCCTCTTCGCTGGGCTGGACGCCCCCTTCCCCTTTCCCCCGGTCTGGACACCCCCCTCCTTTAGTCTGCCCCCCCCGTAGTCCGGACACCCCCTCCGCGGGCCGAGCTCCGGGCCTGCTCCCAGGGGTTTCAGCGGCCCCCCCGTCACGTCCCGCGGTGGGGGCAGGGCTCTCTCGGGGGGGGTGTGACTCACGCTGCGCGGCGGAGAAGGCGGCGTGGGCCAAGGCGAAGAGCCCGACGCCCACCAGCCCCTTCCACAGCGAGGCGGCCGCCATCTTGCCCTGCCTCCCTCCCCGCGGCCACCTCCCACCACCAGGGGCGCCCCGTCCGGCGGCGGCGCGCTGCGATGACGGACGGACCGGAAGGGGTGGTGCCTCCCCCGCATGCGCAGTGGGCGCGCGGGGCAGGCGGGGCTGTTGCAGCGGGGCCTGTCATGGCGGCGGCCGGGTCCCGCGCGAGCGGCTCCTGAGGGGGCTGGCTCAGGGCTCGGGGCGGGTCATGGCGCCGCG